CTCAATATCTCAAAATCTACTCCACCGATTCCAATATTTCTTTTTTTAAAATACTTGTCTCGATGGTCTCTATCTAGATCAATCAAAATATATATACTCGTTCAGACAAAATTTGAAGATATTGCCGTTTTTCTGTTTTTTTATGAACATTCTTCTTTACACGATAACTTGATAAAAAATGGAGATAGGGAGTTGAAATTTTGTATGCTTCAAGCTTTTATAACCTAAAAGGTTGTTATTGTGAATGGGGGCAATTGGTCGAGCGGTTCTTGAGTTATTCAACCTTTTGTGTAAATATATTTCTTCAAATTTCTCATGAACTACTGGACGGATTTCATTTTTCTTTTTTCAAAATACTTGTCTCGGTGGCCACTATCTAGCTCAATTAAAATATGTTAACCCGTCCATACAAAAAATCAGAGATATTCCCGTTTTTTCGTTTTTCTAATTTTGTCATTCTTGTATGCACGATATTTTGAGAAAAAATTAAAATAGTAAGTTGAAATTTGGTGTGATTATAGCTCTTACAATATTGAAGATTCGTATTTTGGATAGGCGCAATCGCCCGAGCAGTTTCGGAGATCTAAAGTTTCAGCAGTTTCGGAAATCTATTTCATTAAAAGGTAGAATATCTTCCTGTAGACATCCTGTAGCATGCAGTTACGGTTGTATACCTGTCACAGAGACAGGGAATTGCTATGGATCCATTCGGAAGCTTACTACCAATGGAATTGGTAGAAATAAAATAAAAAGCCCTAATAACGCAAAAAGTAAAGGTCACATGCCTTCTGTCGGATGGGCTCGGACCCCGGCTTGTTTAATTTCGGATTTGACGTGAAATTGTTCTATATGCTGTTAATCATACTACTCTTGTAAATAATAAGAATGAATCTAACAATAAAACTATATCCACTAATAAATAATACAACCAAACATGTTAAAAATATTTTATAAGTATAAATATAAACCTGTGTATATTGTAATTTATCTGAGAACGAAACTATATATCATGTCCTTCTAAACTGCCCCTTATATGCCTTGCAACGAAAATACTGGCTGCCCGAATTTGTCAATACGAATCGCCTCTTGCATGATGTCAATAACTCATCTGAGCGCCTAATTGCATTCGTTTCAACTACCTTTACCAACTCTGAGGATAACAAGATGAAAAGACTCTACGATTTTTTGCTTAATGCGTTAAAGGTGCGTAATTTTAGCGCTGATGAGATGTAACGGTGACTTCATAATAGGGACTGCTGTACTTATAATTATGTGTAAATGTATTTGGTTTAAGTCTGACTTTTTGCTTCTTGCTTTTTGCTTTACTCTGTAAATTGTACGCCACTCCTATCATATCTGTTAGAGTATTACAACTAAAATTGCCATCTGTTATCACTGTTACCACTATTATTTATATTTCTATTTATACTTTTTTACTATTTTACTTGAATATTATAGTGTATTTTTATTTTTATATGCCATGTGTACCCCCACTGTCATAGGGCGTTATCCCTGTAGGGCATAAATAAATAAAAAATAAATAAATAATAAAAATATTTTATAAGTTCCAATCAGCTTCAACCCCTCACGTACGGAGACAATACATCGTGTGGACCAATACGAATGTGAACGCTAGCTTTCGAAATGTTGGCATGTCTTTTCAACTAGGCGATATTTCAACTACGACATTTCAACTAAAATTTTTAATTACAACATATCAATTAGTTTTTGTGAAATTACTATATTTTTGGGAATTAGCTGAAATTTTTCTTATTTTCATTTTTTTTACTCTTTGATTTTCAACAGACAACGTGATGCAACTCAATTTAATCACTGAACTAATAGATTAATGATTAATATCATACAAAGATTCAATTTGTTTTTATATTATCAATCACAAGAGGTCAATAATTTAGTATTAATAGTTGTTTTTTTTAAAGGATTTTCATGCTTTTTTTCAAAGGCTGTTTTCCATTTTATATTGAGATGCATTGAGCGATTCCACGCAGATAGTTTTCAATATCATCCAATGCATTTTTCCGATCAAAGATTCTCTTGATTCTCGCGTCATGATCTCTGTAAGCCTTTCGTTTTTTTGGAGGGGGCTGGCCATTATTGGTCTACCTCCATATGAGTTCCATTGCAGCCTGTTCATCGTTAAGGGCTTCAATCAGATACTTGGAGACGTGTGTAGTAGGCGTTATGTCAACCTTCCACTGCATTTGTCGTGCGTGGTTCGACATTTTTTACAGCTTCATAACAATTCCACATATCAATTTCGAATTGGGGGGGGGGGGGGGNGTATCGACGTACTTTGGGTCCGATCCATGTTTCCATGGCGATCCATGGCGTGTATTTAAATGTGAGTAGTTGAAATGTGATAAGTTGAATAAGTGTTAGTTGGACAGTCGGTAATGGAAATGTCGTAGTTGAAATGTCGCCCAGTTGAAAAGACACGGATTCTTCGAAATTGATAATTTCCAAATTTATGAAGAATAACTTGATCAGAAAACCAAAATTGCAAACCGCTATACTTGTAGCATCAATTCGATATCAGTTTTACAATTTTCCATTCATTAGAAATAATCCAATTCGAATCGTATTGAGTGTACATTATGCTTGGGAATAGAACGGCCTCATCCGTGAGGAGTTAATATCCTAATCGACTTTCAATACCACGTTAAGAAATAGAATTAATAAATCAATTAGATAAAACTATTGTAATTTACCTGTTCATATATTTAATCCTATGAATCAATCAACAAAAAAGAAAAAAAAAGATTTCAATGAAAAATTGAAAGTGAAGGATTCAATGTAATAAACATTAAAACTCTTTTTGAACGTCGTATTTAAAATGCAAGTGAATTAAATCCATTAAAAATCGTATTTTATATTTCGAAACAATAATAAACCAAATTTTATAATAACCTTAGTAAAATCACTCATAACGCAGAAACGTTTTTTAAAACAATGTGCCACATTGTTATGACTAAACACGTCATTATATTAATTGACATATTCATAAGTTATCCGAAGTCATTTATAAGTTAAGCATTTCGTCTGTAGGAGCAAAAAAAATCTCCGGTGTACTTAAATATTGAGAAATTATGGGAGTTAAAGAATTTTAAGAGAAACCGTTCAAGAAAGACAAACATTCCACCATAAAAAAATGTCCTTGTTCCGTTTAATACGTTGGGGGGGGGGGGGNGGGGGGGGGGGGGGTAGCGTCTCACCTACAGACGCACACATCTACGCGTTAACCACGGACCCAGAGGAAAAGATGATTGACGGGCGAACGAAACTCCCGTGCTGTCTCACTCGCTCCCTATTGTGTCACGCGTATATTTCGGATTAACTTCATCTACGGAATTGGGCTGTCTTGCGAATTGAGAAACATCTCAACGAAGCAGTCCGGCACCGACCGCCGAATACTCAGGAGTGAATACCTACTCCTTACATTATCTATCTTCACTTTTTGTATATAGTTTACATCTTGTAAATATACTGTGATTGTTTTATAACTATCACATTTGTTAGTGAATCGTTACATCTCTCAAAAACCGTGATTCCTACGGGGGGAGGGGGGGGGGAGAGGCATTCAATCGATGATCGATTTTAATCATTTTCATCCATCAATTCCAAACGAAGGGGAATATATAAATTTATTACGCGGACCTAACGGTTCAAAATTCCTATCTATTGTGCATCAAATCCCCAACCCATTGCCATCATTTTTATTCTCCTATCTTATGTCAGAGAGAGGATGAATTTTCAACGGGAGGATATCCCACGGTTGATGTTTGCTTTGTAGATTATGCACTTTTTAACAAAGCATCGGAAAAAAAATTATTAGAGTTTTCTTCTTCAAATATCTCCCTCCCCCCTCCGAGCTACCCGGACACTATGTATGTTGAGTAATGGCATCATGTATAATGTTTGTGCAAAGAAACATCACAAAACGCTCTTTTTATAGAAGGTTACAACAATCCCAACACCGAAACAGACATAATATTGATTCAATTCTCGCATTCCCCTAGATTATCTTCAATGTTTTTACCTTTGGAGAATGTGCCAAATAATGTATGAATTATTATTCAAGTACTTCCATTAACTATTCCACATTTCAATAAATCCACTCGCTACGAATAACGCAAACTCTGTTATCTCAATCCCTACAAATAATTTATCCATCATCAATTCTCGGATTTGCACGTTATCCGAGCGTAGAAAATTCACTGGAAATTCACAGGAAATGGAATTCAATGGAAATAGAGTTTCCTAGAAAAAAGAGCTGAATGCATTCATGACTCCATCAAAAGCCCTCAGCTTTAATCCTCAGTCCTCATTTTCCTAACATTTGCATTTAACAACGATTCTACTTCTATTGCGTCCTCTCTGACATTTGAAGTTTGTGCGCGGAGTGATTGAGGTCAAAATATATTTAGATGTAGGTTATCTCTGATCTTCCCGAAATTTTGAACTCATTATTTGTATATTAATGTACAATTATCCACTGAAATTATAATTAATGACTTAAGAAATAAAAAAAATAGAAATGAAAGAGGACCAGCGTAAACCAGAACAAATCACAATTATTAATCAAAAATTGATCTCAAGAGTTTCACCAACGCGAATGAATATGGATGATAATTAAATTTCAGGATACAAGTTCGAACTGGGCGAATTACACCCGAGGGTCCCAATTAATTTACCTCCCTCATCCCCACTACCTCCGTCTGCCTCACCATCGTATACCTTCATCCTCCATAATTAACACCTCACAGCTCTTATTTCCGAACTTAACTGTTGTTACACGTATATTGGACATATAAATATATTTAATAAAGCCATTAACAGCCTGAAGAAATCAACCCGTTCCTCCCACAAAACTTTTTTTTAGCATTTCAATGGAAAAAAAAATTGTTCTTTCATTCAAGTCGATTCGGATGGGCGCCAAATTCTGCCAACACCAATGTTCATCCCCCCCCCCTCACTCTCACCTATCCTTCCTTCTCCTCGTAACACTCTTGTCGCACACAGTTCCGGTAGAACCAATTAATAAGCAGCCCGCCTGGTTTGGAAAACTTTTGGATCACCCAGTATTACCGTAGAAGTTTGTAGAACGAGCACCCCGGATCGGTGTAACTCCCGTTTCACGACTCGTTACGTGCTTAATAACAATTACGCTGGAAGCGTGTGTCCCACCGTACTAACACGAGTCCAAGCCCCCTACTCCTTTCCCCACTACTTTTTTACTCTGGCTAGTCTCGCGAGTGTCCACGATCACGGTATTTTTTTCCGTTTTTTCAACCGGATTAAAAGGGGTTGGTGGGTGATACAGAGTTAGAGAAAGAGGTGGTGGGTGAGTTGCAGAGAGGGGGGAGTTAATAGCCTCGATTGTTTAATCCAATTCGACAAATTGCTCGGCACGCGCAACGACATATTTTGGCTTTGAAAATACTCGTTGTAAAAGTGAGAGAAATCGAGAGAAGCTGGAGGGAGACGGGCTATTTTTTGGAAAGAGGTCGAAGGATAGCCAGCAAATTTACGAGGTGATTTACAAATTGGCGGTTATTGTACCACTCGGAAATCAAACTGTCCTCTAAATCAAAACGTCCAACGGCGTTCATTAAACGTCAGGGGCGCGGATACCAACGGAGTAGCGATGACCAGGGGTTAAGAGGGGCAGAGAGGACGGGTGGCGGGAGGGAGGGAGGAATGTCGTACGTCATCGTGGGAATACAAACACCGAGTCTAATATGTTCGTACAGCTCAAACGCTAGATTCCGTAGCGTAGGATCGTAATTCTCTTCATTGCCACTGTTACTGACATTTTCGACGTGCCCGAGTTTTAGGTTGAGTTAATTAGAAATTGCCAAGTGCAGTTTGTTGGAAGGTAAATATATGGAGAGGATTATGGGGTTTTTCATTTTTTGAAAAGTTTCTTGGTTGCTCGTGAATAGTGGTAGTGATCAAGTTGGGCAAAGTTGAGTAACAATATGAGAATAAGTTTGTAAATATCTAAAGTTGAGTGGTTTAAGCAAAAAATCACCATACCAGAAGAACAATCACTTGATTCAAATTGTAAACATATGAAAAATAAAAATTATAGGTAATCGTGGAACGAAATTCCTTTCTAAGTCTTTCTAATTTAATGTCGGGGGAAGAAATACAAGATAACTGGTGAATTTTCTCCGCTTGCTTGAAAAAGGTTTTGTACCATTGGGTCATTATTTATATAGTGGTAAAATTTATCCGGAATTTGACCAAAAAATGCGTCAGGGAACGTAAATAATTACTCAATGTCTAGAAAGTTTTTTATAACAATGTACAATTTTCTTTCGTGGTTACTGCACAATGTTAGAAATGAAATTGAAATTTCATGGACAGGTGATTTATAATTTTCAGTAGAATGATATTGGTTTCAATTTAGGTGTAAAAAATCACTAAATTTCAGAATTCATTCAGAATTTAATGGAATTACAAATTTTTTGAGCCGCAGGAAGCCGAGAATTTTTGAACTTTCACTCAAAGCATGAATATTCACTACCAAATTATGCTAACCTTACCATTAAATGAAAATTTAAGAATATATTCACCTGAATTTTCCTTATTTCTATTTATTTCTATGGAATAAGCAAACTAAAATTTACAATTTCCTCTGATTTTTCCGTAAAAGTTTTTTATTTTCCACGACGAAATTTATAGAAATTTCAGTAGAACGATAACGAGAAAAAACTGATCAAGAAGTCCGCCTGAAATTTCAGGCAGATATGTCCAACAGTGTAAAGTTAATTCTTACTAGCGTTCGTTTCCATGTCTTTCGTGTGACGTTGCCAAACTAATACTGTACAGGTGCTGGAAATTTTACTATACAGAGATTTCTACCTCCACTAGAAGTGTTTTTTTAGTGAATTACATTCTGCTCTGCAGAAAAAAATCAAAAGAGAGAAGTGGAAGAGGCCAGGCAGACGAATGGGGTGCCTATAAAACCGTAGTGGTAGTAGGAAAGAAATATGAATAAAAAAAAAATAATACATTCTGCTCCATTATTATCTTCCATATAGTAAAATTTTCAGAGATTTTCTGGTTAAATTTTTCCCCAATTTTTTTCGTCTCTTTTTTTATTTTTCTCCAACTTTTCTCTCCAGGTAGCTTCCATAATTCATGTTAGATAGATTTTTTATTAAAGGTCACATACAATTTACGTTTTGCTCCATTAAATTTTTTGAAGTTTTTTTTTCCCTTGTAGAGAGCTTGATTCTGGTAGTTGAATAATGCTCAAATCGTAAGAGGTATCTCTGACTTCAATCAACTCCAAAGAGTTGCTTGAATCAAGTAAAAAAGGCTGAACTCAAGTCAGACCTTAGTTATAATAAATTGAGAATGTTCGAGTTGATCAAAATCTTGTGGGGAATAATAACAATGGTGTTATGGTATCCAGTCTTACAATTCTAGTAGGTCTTAAGCTTATAGAGATAACCGTGACGATAATAACCGTGTCATCTCGGTGATTACAACGCATTACGTCTTTAGTACGCTTGGTAGTCCAATCCAGATCCGGTCTGTGCCCACTAAATGGCTCCTTATATAAAGCATGAGTTGTTAATGTTTTATTGTTTGTCTCTACTTTCGCAATAACAACAATTTCTTTACATATAAAACATCAGAAAAAGTTTTATCTGCAATAGCAAAAATTTGCTTTATCAGAATGGAAATTTACTTAAAAACGCAAAAATATTATTCTCGTATATACATGAGGGACTCTCAGCTACCTTTTTTCGTCGATATCCTCAGAAATTCTGAAAAAAGTTCAAGTGATTTGTGTACGTGAAAAACTGTTTTTTGAACTTTTTTCGATTTTTTGGATGAATAGATACGAAGATATGATTATTTCTGGGTTTGATAATTGATTTGAACAGTTTTCAATGTTTCAATAATTTTTCATGGAGATTTTCATATCTAATATTTGTATTTTTCTCCAGCTTTTCAATGAACAGATTTTCAGGTTGTTTAAGGCCCACTTGGATGGATTTTTGCCCGACATATCCCTAGAAAATTCCCCAGAAAATTGTTAAACAAAAGCATTTTACGCGGGTACTAATTACGACCGTATCGTTTCACTAAAAAGTTTGATTTTTGTTTCAAAAAACAGATAATTTATTCCCTCGGGATAGTAATTGGGTTTGGAGGGAGAAAAATAGGTTTTTATATCTTTTATATTGAGTAGAAAATAATGCAAAATAAACACCACTATCTCCCCCTAGCCACATCACACTTGCGTGGCACCTTGTCAATATGGCGACGGTAAATATCCAAAATAAAAAACACTTATTCCAATTTTCACAGACACTAAATACTCCCGAGACCTAATTACCGTCCCGTGAACTACTTTTTACTATTTTTCGCGAGTTATTCCAAAGGGGTTAGATGGCACTAACTTCCATCATCCGTGACGGCCTAATTGAGGCGATCAGCTGTGGCCATACTGTCTCTCAGTTATACTGAAATGTGCCAGATGGCGCCACTGAAACCCCCGAATCTCGGGTTGGGGCTAAGTTTGCCAAACTTCAAACGTCAGAATGTACGAAATGACGGACTAACAAACTGCCCTACGCTCTAAATGTTCGATTTTCAAAATGGCTAGAATTCATCAGTCCTCGATTGGGTGATTTGTTCGCAATTATTGATGTGCTACGCAGTTTTTATCATACTTATTTGAGTAACAGATAATTCAATTTACCGAGACGGTGAATGATAGAAAATATATTTTCCCCTGTGGAAATATTCTAGAATATGTGAATGTTCAACTATTCATTCACACGAATTTAAATATTCCATATACGATAGAATTACCGATGAACGACTGGTCCGATGGTTGAGAAAACTAGAAAATATCTTCGACCGCTAAGAGATCTTTTATATTTTTATTTCATGTACAAAAAGTAAGCATCCGAATATCCATATGCGGAAATATGCGTTCCACCGAAAGGGAGATGGCGCGATTGTTCGATACGCGCGAATGTAGATTTGTTCGACAGTATTGTAGGTACACTGTAGATAAAGTAAAAAACATTAGAACACAGGGAAATAATTAATTTTTGGATAAAACCAATTTCTATCATTCGAGAATCATTTGAGATAGTTTAGGACCGCCTTGTTACAGTTCAGAAACTAATATTCATTTATGTAATTACTCATTCTTTTTAGAGTATATATGATTTCTACCTTACCGACAGCGTTACCTACAATACCCCTATAATCTCGGATAATACTGTTGGACAAATTCACATTCGGGCGTATAGAACAATCGCGCCATCTCCCTTTCGGTGGAACACAAATTTCCGCATATGGATATTCGGAAGCTTAGTTTTTTGGATGAAATGAGAATATAAAAAATCTCTTAGCGGTATTTCCTAATTTTCTCAATCATCGGACCAGTTCGTTCATCGGTAATTCTATCGTATCTGGAATATTCAAATTCGTGCGAATGAATAGTCGAACATTCACATATTCGGGAATATTTTCATGTGGCAACATATATTTTCTATCATCTGTCAATTCGGTTAATCGATCTATCTGTTACTTGAATAAGTATGAGTGAATAATTTGGGCCAATTCGAAAATCGAACACTTATAACGTAGGGAATTTTCTAGTCGGTCATTTCGTATATTTTGACGTTTGAAGTTTGGCAAACTTGGCCCCAACCCCGAATCTCGGCGTGCGGAAATGAGAATTGTCGAGCGGATAGCTCAGGAGTGTAACACAATGAGGGCCTACGTTTACCAAGCATTCGTGCATCTCGCTCCCACTCGTGGAAATGGAGCAACACTCCGTATTCCACCATCCTACAACCGCCACAATAATAATAATAATAATAATAATAATAATAATAATAATAATAATATTAATATTAATAATAATAATAATAATAATAGTATGGCGTAGGGAAGTTGGCGTACCCATCGCTCATCAGGATGGTGTTCCATCCTGCTGCAATAGCGGTGTTAGTTGCGGACTAACTACCCGTAACTTCCAATACCCGGTTCTACCAAAGAGTTGCGGCACAGCCCCCCACAGCCGGTCCCTTCTGGATGAGGACCATGGATCAGTTGGGAGGGGCGATAGATCTGGATCTAACAATGGTAAC